GGCTCGCCGCCGCCAGCCACCCGCTGCTCTACGTCAAGCTGCTCGTCCAGGTCCGGGGCCGCCGGTGGAGGGGGGGGGCGTGTTGCGGAGAGGGGGGCACGGAGCGGGGACGCGCGGAGCCCATATATAACGGGGGATCGGGACCCCCATATAGTGCCCCTATAGAGAGCTCTGTGCGCTGGGGATCACCATATATACAGCTCCCGTCCCACCCTTTATATCATGACACAATGGGGGCACCTGTATAACGGGGGACACCCCTATAGAAGGAGGCAGTGAGGACCCCCGTGCCACGGGACCCCCCGTATATAACGGAGATGAGGTCATCCTGTGGAATGGGGGTTCCTGTATGACTGGGAGGATGAAGGCAGCTATAAAATGGGGAAGCCTATGTAATTGGAGGATGGGGATACCTTCTGCAATGGGGACCCCCTATAGGAAGCCCTATATAATGGAGGGATGAGGATCCCTATAGAGTGGGGACTCCCTTATAGCGGGGGCATTGGGACCCCTCCTATGACAAGGACTGGGGACACAAATGGGAGTGGGGACCCCTGTAAAAATGGGGGAGGATGAGGATACTCGCTGCAATGGGGGCTCCTATATAAGGGGGGGTGAGAAACCCCTGTATAATGGGTATTCTGAGAGCCCCTCTGTAATGGGGAACCCCTGTACCCTGTGGACCCCGTATGATGGGGGAGGGACTGCCCGTGTCATGGCACCCCCATGTATCTGAGGGTGACGGGGGGAACGTGGCCCTTGGGCAGCCCCTGGATTGAGGCCACATGTCCCAGAGGTTTCGAGAGCACCGGGACAGGGGCAGGGACCTGCTCATGGGGTTTTTCTCCCAGGTTGGGCATGAGCCACTACCTCCGACCGTTGGAAGAAACGTGCTGGGAAGGAAAGTCCTGTACCTGCCCGGCTTTTTCACCTATGGTGAGCAAACGTCCCTCCCTGCTGGCGCAAGGTCCTGCCCCAAAAACGGGGCTGGGAGCTGCCAGGTAGATGGAACCAACCTCCAGCATCACCCCCGCATCCCCTTGGGATCATCCCGAGACTGCAGGGAGACATAAACCACTACAACTAGTTGCAAGGCCGCCTGATTTACCTACCTGTTGGTGAGGACGAGGAGGTGGGGGCCCCTGTGTTGGTGCTGCATCCCCTTCCTGTGGCACGTTGCTCTGGGTTTGCACCGCAGCAGTGGGAGTGGTGGGGGTTTAGGTGGTGCAGGTTTGTTGGTGGAGGGTTTCACATGTGTTAGAGGTAGCAAAGTGCCTTTCTTTGCTACAAAACACCCCTGCAATAACTTGGCTCCCTGCCCTGCTCATTTGTGTTGTAGATGGAGCCCTAACAGGACAGAAATACCATGAAAAGGGAAGGTAATATGTTTACAAAGGAAAAAATAAACCTATTTTTCTCTCTTTGCTGGTGGAGCAGCAGGTGGAGGCGGGTGAATACTCCGTGACCTTGGGGGTTGCTTTCACAGCGGGTTTGCTGCGGGGCAGGGGAGCACACTGTCCTGAAAGCTGAGTTGGGCTGATCCCCAAACCCAACAGCAGTTGTTGTGGGCTGGGGGGACCCAGTGTAGGAGCAGTGTGAAAGCATTGTAAACCCATCCTGGGACACCCAGGGCTGGAAACGCTCCGGTGCTGCCCTTTGGAAGCTGCATTTTTCCAATAGATGTACAGTGCTGCGTGATGGAAATGTGCAGAGCCTTCCTGGCTTCGCTTGAGATGGGAGAGGACAGGGAGGCAGGAGCAGCTGGTACCCACAAACACATAGTGGGTTGTAGTCCACCTTATTACATCAGGGAGAAGTTGGATCCATTTTTTTTTTTTTTTGGCTGGAGACCTGAGGGGGTTTCCTGGGAGAAGGTGGTGGGACAGGAACTGAGTCTGGGTTTGTGAGATCCACATTAACCTTGAGTCCAACCCCTGGGGCGGAGGGAGGAGATGACACCACACAACAGCTGAGATGATCCCTCACCCTGGTTCAGTCCGAACTGCCTCGTAGCCCTTTCAGGTGAGCAAAACAATCAAAAGATGAAAAGCAGCCCAAAATACCGGAGCTATCCTTCCAGATTAGACAGATATGGCAGGGAATACTTAAGGATTCTTCGTGTCCTATATGAAATTTATGTCCTAACAAATCTCTTGGGGTGGGAGCGGTGCTGAGCTCTGGTGCAGTGTTTGGGGAGCTCTCCAGGAGCCGGCCTGTTCCCGACTGACAGCAGCCTGGTGTTTTCTTACCCAGCCAGACACATCGTGGAAGTGGATGGGAAAAGAGGCCTCTTCCGCGGTCTTACTCCTCGCCTCATCTCAAGCACTTTATCAACCATCACCAGGGGGAGTGTGAAGAAGGTAAAGGTCGGCTTCTCTCTCCATCAGTCAGCTCGTTGGGTCGGCCGGTGCTACTGTGGCAGAGCCAGGGACCCTGTGTGTGCCTCACCCAGCCCTGAGGAGGAATAAAGCACCCATCCCTCTCCATCCCCTGAGGGCTTTGTATAGTCCTCCAGGACAGAAGAACAGTGCCCATATCCCTAAAACTCATTTTAAAAATAATTTAATTTGAACAACCACTTGCATTTTATCTTCTGTAAGGAGTTCCGTGACCCTCTTTTCCCCTGTTTTACTTTCCATCCTTCCTTCTTCTGTGTTCCTTCTTGCCCATTTTTCTTCTCCTCCTATCTAAAGTGCAACTGCTCGTGGTTTCCTCCTGTCCTCAGACATCAAGGGTTTGTGGGTCAGTGCCTACATCAGTTTTGACCATAAGTTCCTTCTCTCCCTGCTCAGGCATTTCCACCGGAGGACATGGAGCACGTTTCTAACAAGGATGATGTGAAGACCTCCCTTAGGAAAGTGGTGAAAGAGGTGAGAAGTGGATATTGCACGTTAATGAGTGAGCAGGGAGATCTCATTGGGGATGTCCCTGGAGAGCAAAGGAAGCTTAAACTGTGGGCTGTGGGTGAAATTACCTGGAGAGAAACTCTGAGTATTTAGTACCACTCTTGTGTCCAGCTGTGAAATATTCCATAGGAATAGAGGTTTACCACAAAGAACAGATTTCAAAAAAAGGCACCCGAAGTGGGTCCACGCTAAGGGAAAGGGCCTCCTCTGCACAGGTGGAGCTTCTCATACAGGTGTGGCTTTTTTCTCCCCTTCCCAGACATCTCATGAGATGATGATGCAGTGCGTGTCCCGGGTTGTCTCACATCCGCTGCACGGTGAGTCCCGTCCCCCTGCCTGGCAGCCCTCTCCAGGCAGAGAATCGCCCCAAAACCCCATTTACTTGATGTGCTTCTCTGTCAGAAACAGCTTTGCGCAAAACCGCAGAACAGACACAGGTCTGAGTGGTTTCCTGGGGAGGCTGATGCTTTGGTTGGCCTTTGGGGACTAACGCAGCTGAGCGGCAAGGTGCTCTCCTCCCATCCAACCAAGAGCTTGTCTTAGAGATCCCATTGAGTTTAGGGCCAGAAATCCTTCCCATCACTTACAGGCTGAGGGAGAGTGCCGGTTTCTAACGAGTTTTGCAGTGATGAGGACCAGGGAGAGGAGCTGGAGGTGATGTGAGTTGGGGGTAAGGAGGGCAAAAGGGTCAGGTTGCATTTTCCTTCACATCCACTGCAACCCCAACTGGATTTGTGTCTCAGCCCTGTGTTTCTTTCCTCCTAGTGATCTCTATGCGCTGCATGGTCCAGTTTGTGGGCCGGGAAGTCAAATACAGGTGAGTGGCTGCAGCTCTGAGGGGTTTGGGCACACAGAAGCGCCAGTCAGCGGCGCCGGACGCTCCCATGCAGCGGGGCTATGGCAACCCAGGAGGTTTGTGAGACTGAAAAGTGAACCTGAGCTCTGGTTAGAGGGTGGGTTGAAGGTGCGGGGAGGCTGGGCTCTGTCCCCAGCGTGCCTTTGTTCCACCTTGGGGATTCTGGTGGCTGTAACGCACCTTGCTGGTCACACAGTGAGTCTCCTGCCTTTTTTGCTTTGGGTGTTAATAGAAAGGGAAGTCACCAGGGAGGCAGAGTAGGTAATACAAAGCGTTCCTGCAGCTCTGCGAGTCTACAAGAGTTTTGCACGCCTTTTTCAGTAATACCTGCCTCTCCGCAGGGCCAAACTACACGTGCAGCCCCGTGAAAGACCCGATTACAGCTAACCCACACCTGCCAGCGTGAGCTCCCAGAGGCAGGAGAAGGTTCTTGGGCTGACAATCAGCCTAATCAAAGCACACTCTGTGCCGGGGTGGCAGCATGTGTATTCGCTTACACAAAGCCAAGCAGAGCTCTTCTAGCTTCAGCATTTAAACAGCTGTCAGCCAGTTGAGCGTTGTCCCAGGTGTTATTGCAGACTGGTAGGGGGCTGACGCGACCCTCCTTAAGGGGTTGAGGAGCAGAACGGAGCTGCTCGGGGGACACCACCACGCTGGAGGCTGCGCAGGGCAGGGACAGAGCAGGCCCTGCGTGCTTAGAGCTCTTCTCCTTTCTTGGCAGCGGTGTGTTCAGTGCCATCGGCAGGATATTTAAGGAAGAAGGGATCCTGGGATTCTTTGTGTACGTGAGTTGTTGTTTTAATATTTTCTCCTGTAGTCTGAAGGTGCCGCCAGCTCTCCTGGCCGCTCTACCCACCTCAGGTAGAGTCACATTGAGCCCCCCCCTCCATCTGAAACTGTGTCTGACCAGGGGACACTCACATCCCTCCCATGAGCACAGATTAAATCTGTGCCTTTGACAGCGCTCCAGTTTGACCATTAAGTCTGCCTTAGATCTTATCTTCAATCAAACCTTCAGAGCCCAGAATGAACCTGGTATTTTTTTTCTTACCTCTCTTTTTCCCTTGACGCTTCTTTGTGTTTCAGTGAAGGGCCATTTAAAGCATTTGTTTGTGCAACAGGCACCGAGATCAAGTGCAACAATGAGCTCTCCTGTTGAAATAAAAGCCAAGGCCTAGCTAAGAAGCACATTCCTCTGAAGAGCACCGTGGGTGCTTGTAACCAGCAGGTGGTTTGTGCTGGCATCAGCTTTGCCTGTACGGCAGGAGCGTGGTGCTGCCCAGCTCAGCGGCGTCACTGCCTGGACCAGGAGGAGCTGAAAGGTGCTTCCAGCTGCTTACGGAGTGTGGCGAGTTGTTGGCATCACTGAAGTGGAAGTCTAGTGGACACCTTCTTGCTCGAATCCTTAATTAACCCTTCTTGCCTTTTTTCACATAAAGGCATAACCACCTGCTGCCTCTGCTCCTGGAGGGGAGCTAACTCACTTTATTATGTGAATAATAGTAAAGTCAGCTCTGAAATTTCAGGTGGGGTGACCAGGCCTGATGCCTTTGGCTCTACAATCACAAAATTTGGGCCTCCAGACGAAACATGAATGCATCAGGAAGAAGCAAGCAGTTGTAGGAAGTCTCACCCTCTCCTTCCCCAAGGGAAAGGGCCGGGGGCCTGCAGAGACCCCATCAGTTGAGTGTCACTGCATCTTCCTTTTGTAACCCACAGCTGCTCTGAGCAGCCCCAAGTCTCCTCCGTTAAATACAGGTTCCTCTGGGATGTTCCTTGTGCATGGGACACGGCCAGAGCGTGCTGCCCAGCAACCCTCCTGAGGAAATAACGTGAAAGGAGCCGCCGCATTCCCTTCCATCCACATAAAATAAACACTGTTGTTAGCCTAATTAAACTTAATAGTTCACAGGAAAGGATTTAACACAACCCAAAATGTCTCAGGAGGGCTCTGAAGTTATACGTGTTCTACAGCCCCGCTAGGAAATTGTGCTGCCGTGAGGGGAACACAGACTGCATCTGTAGGACCAAACTGGTGCTGTTCTGCTCGCGACCCTCCTAACACAATCCAAACACATCCACTCCCTTAAAATCATTGTGGTGCATTTATTTCTCGTGGCCTTATAACCTCCACGCAGCAATAACAGCAGCACGCGCTTGCTCTGGATGTGTGCCTGGCTAGAGATAAAGACTTTTCTGGGGATGGACTTATCTCGCTTCCCCTCGTATCCGCAGCAGTCTCCCGCCTGCCAGCAGGCCTGGAAGATGTTCCCTGGGCTCCGAAACTGCTGCTCGGGGTCAGCTCGGAGATGGCTTGTCCCAGCTCCCCAGCACTGGGGTTTCTCCTGCTGGGTTGCATCATCCTACATCACAGGCCTCACCATCTGCTTGTTGCTGTTTCAGCTTTTAGTGAATTGTCATCTAAAAATATTCCTAGTCCAGATCTCCTTGGACATCTTGCTAGGGGTGAGGGTTGTAGCACAAATGAATTTGGTTATTTTAGTCCCTTTCTGCAGCTCTCTCAGAGCCTTGGTCTCCAGTCATCCCATAAGCTCAGGCCTAGCATCCGTTGTTACTTTGATGATGGAGGGAGGAGAGGGACGGGATCCTTACTGCAAAAGGAACAAACGATCCGATTCTCTGTCGACAGATGGGTGAGGTTTAACTTACGTGGCTGCTGCTGTGGCCCAGTCCTGGCCCATCCCTCTGTTTCTGGACTTTATTAAGCCCCTGTTGTATCTGGAGCAACTCAAGAGTCTGCTTCAGACTTTGAGTTAGAGAAGGGATTTTTTTACAAAGGCTGAATGCTAAATGCAAAGCAAACCCAACTCTTTGGGACCAGAGTGCTTTGATTTCTTTGTCATGTCTCTTGCTCTCGTATCATCTTTTAAGACAGTGGGTCTTCTGTTGAAGACTTCTTCTGTGCCTAGCCCCTGAGACCTTGGCTGCATCTCCAGAGCTGCTGGGGCCTTGACAATACACAGGTTGTCTCCAAAAAGTATAAATCCTAACACCAAGCAAGCGAAGTAGGCTGGATCAGAGCACACACAGTGGTTCTTCCTAGCCCAGCAAACACTTGCCTGGTTCTCAGCAGGCTCATTTTCAGAGAACTGTCAACACATCTGGTGAAACACAGGTTTAACGCACACCTGGATCCTTTTGCAGTGGAACAACTGCACAGGAAGCCCTGCGCTCGATGCCTGCAGCGGTGCAACAGATGCTGCTGAAGTGCTGACAAACTGGAGAAACCCTCTTGAAACGTTTTGTTGATGTTGTAGTGCCATTAGCTGCAGAAGCTGGGGGTACTGGTGCTGCTGGGAGCTCCGGCCCCTGTGTCCATGAGGGCATAAACCAAAGCAGCTGTGCTCCCAGGTGGCAGCAGGGACTGGGAAAAAATCAGAGGGACTAGAGTGCTGCCCCCGGTTAATCCCACTTGACAGTAGAGCAGGTTTTGCAGGAACAACCCCCCTCATTTTAATTTCTAAAGGAGGGAGATGCCACAAAGAGATGGACTTCTCATTCTGCATCCAGAACAGCATCTGCAAAATGAGTTTAACATAAACCACTTCAGCTGTGTCTTGCCTGGGTTTCAGAGCAGAAGTTGGGCCAAGGAGGGATTTGGGGTAGAACAAGGGGACTTGGTTGAGTTGTGGCCAAACGACAGATCCCAAAAACTTCCTACTCCAGACCATCCCCTGGCCGGGGCAGCAGCACATGTAGAACCATGTTTGAAGGCCAGGAAACCTTGTCCCTTTCAGTTCCTCCCAAAGTAAAGATTCATTCTGGTGAATTTAGGTGAAATCACCTACACTGTTGGAGGGAGGGAGGGAGGGCTGGGCACCTCGGAAGGCAGCGCTAGGACCCTTCTGCACCTCACACCCCTCTTTTTGCTGTTGCAGCGGTTTAGTCCCTCACATCCTGGGGGATGTCATCTTCCTCTGGTGCTGCAACCTCTTGGCTCACTTCATCAACACCTACGCAGTGGACGATAACGTGAGTGGGAGTGCCTGACCGTTTGGGGGGCCTGTACTGAGCACCTGCAGTTGTGAAGAGTTAATGGGAGGTTAATGGCTCGTTCAATACAATAGACACCGGGCTGTGGGTAAAACATTGTACAAGTGTAAAAGATGCAGTGTCTGTGCGGGGCTGTGTTTCAGCTGCAGTTGAGGGGATCAGGTTTGATAGCAAATGTCTTCCCTGGTTCTCAGCTGGGATGCAGCATGGCTACTGTTGCTTTCTGCCTTCTTCCCCTGTCCCACACCCATTATCTCAGGCCCAGAGGGATGTCACCTAGTGTCAGTGACAGCCTGGTGTCATCTGCCTCCTCCATAATCCCTTTGGTTTCTCTTTCCAGTTCAGCCAGGCATCGGTGATCCGGAGCTACACAAAATTCGTGATGGGGGTACGTAGACACCTGCCATGTCATTTCTCTTCTTCCTGCTGTCTTTGGGGTGAAAGCTCGTGGTCTGGGGAGGCAGAGGCTGGTCTGTACCTTATATCCAAAAATTAGGATACTTTGCTAACGTGCAAATGCTGGAAATAGCTTTTTTTGGCATGGTGAGCATTAGAGAGGCTACCGTTTTTCTGTGCTTTCAGATTGCTGTGAGCATGCTGACATACCCGTTCCTTCTCGTGGGAGATCTCATGGCAGTGAACAACTGTGGGTATGTCCATCACACTGAGATCTAAGGCTTTCCCTTCCTTTCTTCCAGACCCTTGTTGTCCGAATCCTCTGCCGACGATCGTAAAGCTTTCATACAGAACTGTAAACTATATGGCACCTCGCAGAGCTGCCTCGTTTCCTGTCCCAGGTTGCTTATAATTTTAGATCAGAGGGCACAGACAAGAGCAGCATAAAAGCTCAAGTGGAGAGAAATAGGGAGTATCACGGTGGTGTGGTCCGATCTGAACTGGACCGTAGGCAGAAGGGATCAAAGGGACTGGCTCTGGGGAGCAGCACGAGGGAAAATAAAGCTCCTGATGCGGTGCTGGGTGCAGACAGGAGCAGCACCAGGCTTGCTTTCCCAATCCCACTGCTGCGAAAAGCCGCCTGCATCCGCGCTTACGGGAAGGGGACTGGATCCACGCTGCTGGGGTAGTGTTTTATCAGTGTCTGCTGGCTCTTGAAGGTGTAGATACAGCGTATAGCCCTGAACTCTTTAACGTATCCAGGTAACGCTCCGCTCCTTGTTTGTACACGCCAGGGGTAATTAAATTACATGATCTGTTGCATTGTAAATAACGAGCTGGTCATTTGGCCTTCAGCCCGGTGCGGACACTGTTTCTGTGTCCTCGCTTACACTTACTGCTGCTCTTGTGTTACCTGCCTGGATAATGTGACATCTGTACAGACCGTCTCAGCTATTCCTTGTTGCCATGCAGGTTGCGTGCCGGCCTCCCTCCCTACGCTCCCGCGTTTACATCCTGGATCCATTGCTGGAGGTACCTCAGTGCTCAGGTGAGGGAGCAGGGCGCACGCAGGGCTTTGGGCTCCCTCTGCTCCTTTCCGAGGTCTCCAGCGCTGCTCAGAAAGTGCCTGTGCCTCATCCTTGACCTGTTTCCATCCTTCCAGTGCTGGTACCAGGCGTGGCAGTACTGGTCTGCCCATTGCATGCCCTGAGCTTGCAGCCTGCAGACTTGTACCCAGCGCACTGCAGACAAAGCGAGGTGGCTCTGCCCCTCTCCATCAGTCACCCCTGGGGAAAACACCCGACTCCAGCACCCACAGGGCTGAAACCCCCCTTCCTCCTCTGTAGCAATGCGGGGTGCTCAGGCCTTGCAGCCCTGCAGTGGGCACGACTCAGTCCCTGTTAAAACCGCTGCAGTTCCCCGGCCGGGTCTCGGCGGGGCTGCCCTGACCCTCTGTGCTCTCTCCTCCTCAGGGGCAGCTGTTCCGTGGCTCCAGCCTGCTCTTCCGCAGAGCGCCCATGCCAGCTGCCTGCTTCCACCTTGACTGACTCCTCGCCAGGGAGAGGTGATGAACTTGGACTCCTCAAGAAACCCTAAGCTTGTTTCGATATATGTATATTTTTTCTTTTCGATCCGAAGTCCATGGTGCCAGAACAAGCCACCTCCTCTCCAGCAAGACCAGCAACAAGTTGGCTTCTGGAGATCTGGCTTCAGGCTCCAGCTGGACCAAAGCTCCATCCTCATGGCTGTCTCGACTGGGACATGTAGCAGAGCGAGCAGAAGGGTGTTGTCTTCTTTCTTTGGTCCAGGCTGTAGCTCTGGAGTCACTGGAGGAAGTCCAGGAAACCAGAAAATGCCCAGGTACTAAGTGAGCCAGCTCCAAGGTGCAGGCACGGGACAAAAGACTGCTTCATTCTGAGCTGAGAAGCAGCGAGAGATCTGAGGTCACCTTGCTGGAAGGCTGTGCCAGCTGACCCGTGCCCTGCCTCATCTCTTCTGGAGAGGGCAAACATTTGTGTTTGGGCAGCTCATCCTGGGTGAGATCAACCCTGCGACCTGTATTTAAGGTTTGGAGGGTACCTGAACACCAGGGAGCACACCACCTCCCATGGGCGTGAAAGGGAAGTTAGAACATTAAAGCAGAAAATGGAAAAAGGGACACTACAAAGAACAGCACAGTCCCAAAGAGACCAGCAGGGCTCAGCTCCAGGGCAGTGCTGGACTTGGACACGGAGAGCGTGCGTGGGGAGGGGCGTGTGTGGCAGATGGTAACGGCTTGGGGAAGCGTTTTGCAGTGGGACGGGCTGTATTTAGGATACACCCAACAGAGCTGCTGGGTGTAACCTGGGCAGGCAGCCCCTACACATTTCTCGGGAGCAGTGGGTCCCAGGTTGGACCAGCCCATGTTTGGGTGCAGCATGTCTCTGTCTCTGCCCGTGAGCATCTCCCAGCCCGCAGGACCACGAGCCCCGCCGGACTCCTGCCAAACCCGAGTGGTGTCGATTCGCCGATGGACACAGAGCTGCGTGTCGCGGTGCTGGGTGGCTGTGTGGCAGCATCCTGGTAACAGCTACACACCGAAGGGTTCGCCTTGCAGGAGGGACACTCGGTCTGTTGCCCCCTGGAATAATGAAAAAAACCCTTGAGCTGGCCAGAGTCTTGCAAAGCGTCAGGGTCAGGGGCTCCCCGTGCACGCAGGGGCATGGCTGGCTTCTGTGTAGCAGAGCAGGGTTTATCCTCAACTCCCCAGATGAGGTTTTTTTGCACTGGTCTGTGCTGTCACAGCAGCCAGGCAGATTTCCCCCCATTTTAGTTCCCCTACAAAGCAGTTTTTTTGCACAGAGGTGTTGCTGCCCTCTTGGGAAGAGGTTTTGGAGTCCTTGAGCAGCAGCTGGGGTCACATCTCATCCTGGTCCCTGGAGACCCCAACCTGCCATCGCACTGGGGTCTTCCTCCATCAGGCAGGTTTGATCCACACCTCCCAGCCAGGGCACACGGGACAGCACTGGTACATGCTGGGACCAACAGTCCCCACCCAGCTCCCTTTGGTGTCGTGAAGTCAGTCCTGTCTGTCCTCCCTCCCTCACAGTTTGTGTTACAGTATCAGAAGTTAAATAATGCATGACCCTGTTCCTTAACACCAGAGATTATTTCAGAGGATTTAACTATGCTCCAAAATACAGCTATAAAACAACTCTTGGGTGTTTCTTTTTTTAAGAAGTTAATTTTTTTTTTCTGCTCCCTCATCAGGGAAGGTTTCAGTTTAAGACAGACACTTCCCTTTGGTTTCTTCCCCAAAGCAGGGGCTAAACCAGCTGTTGCCATCTCAGATTCTTTCTGATCTTCATCACCTTCAGCAGGTTTAGGCTGAGCAAAATGCACTGGGTGCACCTGGAGTGAGGGTGGAGGCAGCTTGGCTTCTTGAAACAGTAGACACGAAAGCAGGTATTTGGAGCTAAAATTGACCCTGAGCTCTTCTGGGAGGGCTGATGGAGACCCTTTGCTGCTGTCAGACCCATCAGGGGGGCTCAGCCACCCCATCCTCCCCTGCACAGCTTGCAGGATCCTTCCCCACCGGCCTTTTATCACATTAGCTGGTTTCTTGCCTACGCCAACACCAGGCATTGCATCTCCCAGATCGCACACGCCTGCTCAGGAACACATGCCTTCACCCTCCAAATGAAGGCCACCTTCTGCTGGTCACATGTCTGTAAAACCTCCTACACCCTGTGCACAGCCCGGCTGCAGCCACTGCAGTGAGAAGTGCTATTTCCTTTCCTTTGAGGAATTTACCTAAATCTGTACCAGAGTGAGCATCCTGCCAGCCATTTCTGCCCCATTCACTGGGACCCACAAACTCTGCTGGAAACATAACATTCGAATATGGTCAATTTAAATGAAAACCAGGTTTTAAGGCTTTCAGTACACTGCCTTACCTTGAAGCAGGGGCTGCCATTCATAGGATGATAAATACTTCCCAACCTCCTGCCTTTTCTAACCCCAGTTCTTGGCCCATGCTTCATTTGGGGTGTCCCACCATGGGGACAAGAGCAGACAAGGAGATAATCTAAACCCTAGCTGGTCACTCCCTCCTCTTTTAAATTGCTGCCCCATTAGCGGGTGCCTGGCCCTGCAGCTGGTGCTCATGTAGCTCAGCTGATGGGGACGGGGCCCTGCTCCTGCATGAGAGGGGATTTAGGGTGAAACCTGCGGCCAGGAGAACAAATGAAGCGGTGTTTGTGTCTGGTGCCTGGGATGGAGCTGTGGATTTCTCCCACACACAGCCCCAGCCGCTCCCTTATCTGCTCAGGAAACAAACTTGGGTTTAAATATTGACTCTCTCCTGCACAAAACCGGGATGGGTGGAGATCGCTCCGTCCGGTGCCCGGGCGGTTTATCAGCCCTCAGTGGAAAACGGAGATTGCCAGGACTTTGGCCTCATCTGCTCCCAGCTGCCGGGGGGAGAAGGGAGGCAGCGACTGCAGCCAGGAGAGGGAAACTCAGGTCAGGGCTGCCCTGACTCTCTGCAGGGCCTGGGTGCTTGGGTCTGGCAGGGTCTGGGGAGCAGTGAGGTGCTGGTGAAACTCTTGTGCCCAGGGAAAGTGCAGCTGAGCTCGGACTTTGCATTGTCCTTCCCTTTCCCCCCACGGAGCCACTGTGCTAAAGACCCTTCAGTTCAAACCAACCCCCCCCCCAGCCCTGCTGTGCTCCCCGCTGCTGAGCCGGGAGGAAAGCACCCAAGCAGACCTCTCCCAATGGCTTCACGGTGCCCGTCACCCTGGTGTCTGGTCAGCAGGAACGTCAGGGGCTGCCGGTCCCTTCCCGCCAGCCCCAGAAGTGATGGAGGGGCCCCATCCTGCGCCTCAGTGTGAGGAAGTGCCCCCACAGCACGGTGACCCTCGATAAGGTTGTTTGCACTGTTGTCCTGCAGCGCCAAGCTGCACGTAGGCAAATAATTATTTAAAAAAAAATTATTAAAAAAAATATAAATATATAAAATATATATTGTGGAGGAGATCCTGCTGCCGGGGAGGTGGGATCAGCTGGTGCTGGGAAATGCTCGAGGTGGGGACTTGGACACGGCGATGTGGTGGCTCTGGACCTGTCCCCTGTCTCTGCACAGCCTTGGCGGGAACAGGGTGGCCCCATCCCCTGGGATGGCCTCGTCCCCTGGGATGGCCCTTACCCAAAGTGGGAAGTTACAGAGGAGCTGGGTCCTGCTGGATTCCTGCTGGGCAAGGGAAATCCTGGCTGGAAACAAGGGGACAAGGCCACAAAGGGCACAGTGGGAAAGCTCGGCACGGTGGCCTGACCTGCCACGCTGGCGGTGGCAGCTTCGTCCGTCACTGGTGGCTTGTACGAGGAGGGGAAGAGTGTGGGGAAGCTGCTTTCCACGCTCCCCCTTGCCTGCTGCGGGCCCTTTTTTGGGGGAAACTCCCTCAAATCCCCCCAGGCTGAGCTGCCCCGTCCCCTCCTGGGATGGCAGTGCTGTCAGGGGGACCCGGCAGTGTTTTATCCCTCCCCGATGGGGGAAAGAGGCAGTGGCCCAGGCCAGCCGGGGCGGCAGAGATGCCTTTCCCCATGGCCCCTGCACGCCTCCCTCGGTGCTCGCATGGCGCCGGCCCCCCCTCCCTGGTCCCAGGGGAGAAGCAGGAGGCCCAGCAAGCTGGGGAGGGGTAGAAATTTCTCTGGCTTTTTGATTTGCCTTCTCTCCCCTTGCTGCAACCCGCTGGCCGGGTTGGTATGGTGAGGGTCCGTGTCGCCGCTGCAGCGGTCGTTGTCTGAGGCGCCGTCCCTTGCTGAAAAACGTGTTAATTCTCTAATCTTTAGGAATGGAGTTTCTTCCTTAAAAGCCGCCTGCGCTCTGCAGCCGGGCGGCGCGGCTCTTGTCAAGCTGCCAGAGGAGGCCGGAGCAGCGTCACATGCCGCAAAGTTTTACAAGGCGAGAGAGCCGTCTGGGGAGAGGGACGGGAGAGGGGACAGACGCACGCACGCACTCGGACGCGCACATGGAGAAACCTCCTCCGGGCTCCCTCCGGCTCTGATCCCAACGTTTATTATTTTTCTTTTTTTTCCCTCCTTTTTTTTTTTTTTTTTTTTTTTTTTTTTTTTTTTTTTTTTTT